GGAAAGAGTGTGGGGACCCAGCAGCTCTTCCCCGGATCCTGTTTTCCAGAGTGAAAGTCGGGGAGGCCTAGAGGACCAGGATGAACCCAGGAATCAGAATCCTCCTCCCCCCCCTCCTCCCAATGGCTTTGAGCACTTCCTCATGCTGTCTCCCCACCTGTCAAGTGGGGATAAATTGCTCTTATTTTGCAGGAAGCCTCCCAAAATTAGGCTGGGAGGGAAGACGCCAGCAGGGATAAGATGAAGGCTGGGGTGATGATGTACAATCCCAAATTGATAGGAGCCCCCAAATGACCCCAGCAGCAACGGCCAAGGTTCTAATTGGATTCCAAGGGCTTAGAAGGGGTGCTTAGAAGGGTGGGGCTTGAGCTTGTTGCTCTGACCCAGAGTAACCCAGCACCCCAAAAACAGACGCCCCTCCCCTGCCTCTAGCTCACTGACTGGAGCTTCTAATCCCTGGCCACAGGGCAGCCCCAGCTTTGCAGGGAGGCAGTGGGGGATGGGAGGTATCGTGTCCCCCCCGCACCCCCCCCATGTGAATGAAACCCACAGTGGCGTTAATGAGGCCCTTCGCCGCTAATTAACAGGCCCACATGACAGGAACCTGCAAAGGCCAGTCTGTCCCAGCAAGCTCCAGCAGGCCTGCCCCCAGCGCCAGAGAGGACTTTGTCCAAGGGCAGAGGGGACGCTGAAGGTGGGGCTGGGGTGGGGCAGGGCCACAGAGCAGAGGAGGGGGAGCAGAGAGGAAGCAGCCTTGGGGGGTGGGGGGAGCGATGGGGGCAGAGCTCAGCACACAGTCCCTCAGCTTCCCAGCTGGGATGTACTACTCCCAGCAGGCTCTGGCCTGCGGGAGGCCCAGCCTGGGAACCAGCGGAGAGAGCAGTCTCCCTCCATCCCTAACTGGCCGTCAGCATCGGAGCTTAGCCAGGTCCCGGGAAGCACGCTACTGCGCGAGCCGCCCTGAGCTGAAAGGAGAGCCTGCTGAGTCTCTTTCCTCAACTGAGAAAAGAATGTAGTGCTTAGCACAGTCCCTGGTTCAGGAAATGCTGATAATGCCGGTGTTATAATTGTTATTAATTGAGTGACTGTGAGAGAAGGGGCGTCTTGAGCCGGTCCGTGGTGGTGGAGGGAGGGCCTGTCTTTCTGAACTGAACTGTGGAGAGGAGCTTATAAATATAATGGCAGCAGAGAGGGTGTATGTGTGTGTGTGTGTGCTCTCACTGCCAGCAAACCACAGCACACCTCCAGGGGGCGGGGCAAACAACAGCCTCTTTCCCAGCCCTGCCCGCTCAGGGCAGCTTTCCGCAGGCCAGGCCGCTGCCAGCCGGGCCCTGGCAGGAAATGGGTGCTCGGCCTCGGGGCTCATGGCTTCCTACCCTGTAGCCTGGCCTGAGACCCAGCTCAAGGGACGCTGGGTGCAGGGATGACGGAACCAGCAGCCACCCTAGGAGCACGGGGCCCTCCTGATCCCACGCATTTGTTTAGAACCTGCAGGAAGCCTCAGGGGGAAGAGCGTGGCCCGGCTCCCACCTGGGGAAGGAAACCCCAGGATTCTCAACATTCAGTTGTTAACCCAGCCCGGCGACTCTGACTCGGATCGCTGAGGTGGGACCGGAGAAATGGGCATTTTTAAGTAAGTGTCCTAGGTGGCTGTGACCCAGGTGGTTTGCAGTTGGAGGGGAAGCAGAGTTCTGCAGCGAGCGGGGTGTCCCACTGCTGGGCCGGGGCGGGTGGTGGGAGATAAAGAAGCTGGGCTCTGCTGAAATCGGTGTGGCTCAGTGGATAGAGCGTCGGCCTGCGGACTGAAAGGTCCCAGGTTTGATTCCCATCAAGGGCATGTGCCTTGGTTGCGGGCACATCCCCAGGAGGGGGTGTGCAGGAGGCAGCTGGTCGATGTCTCTCTCACATCGATGTTTCTAACTCTCTATCCCTCTCCCTTTCTCTGTAAAAAAACAATAAAATATATATTAAAAAAAAAAGAAGCAGCTGGGCTCAGCGAACCCAAAAGACCAGTGAGGCCCCCAGGGCCTGGTCTCCGGCTGCTCAGCCCCACACTCCTCTTGGGATTTGCCAAGACCCTTGCGAGGCCGGGGAAGGCAGGAGGCCCCATGAAGACTGCAAGTGCATTGCGTGAAGCCCTCGAGTGAGGTAGGTTTCTGGGATAAACGTTAGGGAAATTCTTCAAAGAAAAGCGTGTCCATCACCACCTCCACATGATTGTTTGCGTTTTACCCTCTGTGCCCAGCCTGCCCTGTGCAAACAGATTTTCCCCGAGCAAGCAGTCACTCTTTCTGTCCCGCACACACAAGCTGAATGCCCGCCTCCATGCCAACCACCTTCTCCACGGCCGGATACCGCCAGCCCCGCAGAGGGCGTGACAGGCTCCGGGACCCCGGGGGTCCTTCGGATAGCTCTCCATGCCCATTTCCTCTGGTCCCCAGCAGTGCTAGGAAGAGGGACTGAGCTCAGGGTTGGGGAAAACCTGACAGTAATAATAAAGGGCCAACTAGTGAGTATGTTCAGCTTTTTGGGCCACACAGGCTCTGCTGCAGCGACTTAATTCTGCAGCTTTAGCAGGACATTGGCAATAAATAATATGTAAATGGTGGGTGTGGCTGGGTTCCAATAAAACTTTATTTACAAAAACAGGCCATGGGCTAGAGTGGAGCCAGGTCCGTAATTTGCCAGTCCTTGCTTTAGGGCATTTCTTTTTAATGCTCTTCAAAGCACTAATGTGTACAAACCTCAAGCAGGCATCTGTAGGCAGACTGCACACCGTCCCCATTTAACGAAAAAAAGTCACGGCCCAGAGACTGGCTCACCCTCACGTTATTGGCAGAGGCAGGACCCTGAGGCAGTTCTGAAGTCTCCATCACCTCACAGAATCTCCAGCACCTCCCATCCCAACCCCAAGTGCTTGTCCTGTTCAGCAGGAAAAGGGGACCTCTGCCACACCCACCGGCACCGGTGGAACACCCCAGAAACACCAGAGAGCCAGCGCCCCGAGTCTCCCACCCCTCCATGTGCAGGGTGCGACCAGGCTGAGTCAGCGGGCGGCCCGGCCCAGCCCAGCCCAGCCCAGCCCAGCCAGGCCCGGCCAGGCCCGGCCCAGTGAGGGGCAATGGGAGGAGCTGCCCCCTGGGTTCCAGCCCTGCCAGGCTGGTGAAGGCAGCAGCTGGTTGGAGATGCACCATGCCCCCATTTCTCTCCCGGAGGGAATGATCCCCACCAGCAGCTGGCTCAGTGCAGGCCACAATGTAGAGAAGGGTGTTTGTGTGTGTGCGTATTGCCTCAAGTCAAATTCACCCTTGAATTTACCTTCCACGAAGTCAGTTCAACAGACTGGCTAAAAGTATGTTCTCTGCAGCCAGACTGCCAGGGTTCAAACACTGGCCCTGCCTCTGAGAGAAAGTTCGGGGTAATGGAATGTTCTAAAACCCAGTTGTGGTCATGGTTGCACAACTCCTCAGGTCTACTAAAAAAATCATTACATCGCACACTTAAGAAAACCCTGGCTTGGCCATGTAAAGCGGTGTGATCTATGCTGCTTCACCTCCGTCTGTCAAACGGGAACAATGGTGCCTACAGGATCGGCCAGCTGAGGACTCGGAGAGTCAACAACACAGGACTTTGGAATGGTACCTCACACCGCAGGGATCGATAAACGCTTGCTACACAGGCGAGGGGAGGTGTCTGGGCCGCACAGAGTTACTCGTGGCGGTGCACACGTCTTTGTAAATTCTTGCACCAAGCCTCCAAGCCGCCCAGCCCCTCCCAGCCTTTGCTCCCGCTGTTTGTTCTGCAAAATGCTCGATGCCCTTTCCTTTCAGTTGCAATCAGAGGTCGTCTTTCCTCTCCCTCCTTCTGCACTTAATCTTTTGTAGCAAGGGCATGGGAAGGGCTGAACAGTGTGTGGTTAACTGTTCACCCTCTGGTTTGAGATCCCTGGGTCAGGGAGAGGTGCCCTGCTCCTGTCCGGGTGGCTGGTGGCCGGTGTCCCTGCTGTGACAACCCGGGTGCCGAACTGAACCCAGCAGCGGCGGCCGACGCTACCACACCCTCTGTGGGTCCCAGTCTGGTGGCCATAAAGGTCAGTGAAGGTAACGGGGTGACCATGAGGGCAGGTTAACTAACAGAAGCACGGAGGGGTGACCCTCCTTGGGCCTAGGGCCTTGGGTCACAGGCCAGCAGGGAGTTCCTGCCCCTCCCGCCCGGTGTCCTCACAGACACAGAAGGTACAGAACACAGAGAGTTGCGGCGATAGGGCGACCCGCAGCCGGCCGGAGCCCCGGGGCTGGGCTGGCTGGTGTGCTCAGATGCCTGCAGCCATGCACCACCCTGACTGCGGCCAGGCTCAGGGTCAGGACGGTTCCCCCGCCTCCCTGGTCCCACCCCGGTTCCCATCGGAGCACGCAGACAGCCAGGCCCGGGGGCGCGCCGGTGTCTGGCACAGGCTGGCACCCAGCGAGCAGGGCCTCCCTGTGCAGAGCGAGGGTGTGGGCGCCGGAGAGCAGACCCTCCCTTTGTCTGAGCCCCGGGGCGAGGGAAGGAGGGAGGGAGGGACGGAGGGGAGAGAGCCCACAGGAGGGGTGAGGGCTGAAGGGAGCACCCTCGCCCTCCGCTGTGGGGCCACTTCTGATCCACAGAGCTGCTGGGGGAGGAGGAGCCACTGCGCCCCAGGAAGCCTGCGGGCGGCAGCCCCAACTTGCAGCTGGAGGGAGAGCAAACACCTGGGAGGAGGACGGGCCCGGGGCCCGGCGCCGCGGTCCGCAAACATCCCCGCCCTCCGGGAGGGAGGGTCCCCTCCTTCCTCCTCTCCCCCCGAAACAGCCCGTTCCCAGAGACTCCCGCCCGGCGCACCTCCCTTCGCGGCAGCTCCCTCCCGGCCGGCCGGCCCGCAGGTTCCGACGTGTCCCTCCCCGCCGCCCGGCGCCCGCCGGGGGCCCGGCCCGGACCCAGAGCCGGAGCCGGGGCGGGCGCACCCCTCCCCGCGCACTCACCCAGGTCCCGGGCCCCCTCCTCCGCGGCCTCGCGGGTGAAGATCCAGGGCGGGTTGGTGACGTACAGGGAGGCGGTGGGGCTGGCGTGCTTCTTGCCGAAGATCTTGCTGAAGGTGCCCTGCACCGTCTGGCCCTTCTTCATGCTGCCGCCGCCCCGCGCCGGGCCGGACCCGCGCCTCCTGCTCCTGCCCCTGCCCCCGCGGCTACCGGGCCATGGCCCGCGTCCTCCCCGCGTCCTCCCGCCGCGGACCGGACGGGCCACAGGTGGTGCGGGCGCCGCTCGCCGCCGGGAAATGCGAGCTACCTGGGCAGGTAGGAGGCTGCGGCCCCGCCCCGCCCGCGCCGCCCGACTCCCCCGGCTGCATTCCTGCCCGCCTCCTCCCACTGCGGGCCATTGTGGGCACTGCCCCCGCCCCGCCCCGCCCGGGGAGGGCCGCCCCCTCCCCAGGTCCCTCCCGCCCTCCTCCTCCACCCCTCTTCCCCCATCCCTCCTCCCCCCGCCCCGCCCGCCGCGGGAGGGAGGGAGCGGGCTAGTCCCTCGCTCTACCCAGGGTCACGGGCAGGTCAGGATGGGGACCTGGGGAAGGGCTGTGCCCGACGCTGCGAGCAGCTGCCCTCCAATGGACGGGACCAGACGCCCCTAAGGAAATGCAGGGTGAGCCCTAACCGGTGTGGCTCAGTGGATCAGCGTTGGCCTGTGGACTGAAAGGTCCCAGGTTCGATTCCAGTCAAGGGCATGTATGTACCTTGGTTGCAGGCACATCCCCATTAGGAGGTGTGCAGGAGGCAGCTGATTGATGTGTCTCTATCCCTCTCCCTTCCTCTCTGTAAAAAGTCAATAAAATACATTTTTTTAAAAATGCAGGGGGAGCGGGGAGAGCAGTAAGCTCGCACCCAATCTGACGGCAAAGGGGGAAATAGCTTCGTTGACAGAGCTCCAAGAGAATGCAGGATGACTGAATCTGGGCGTTTTTAGTACGTCACATTTTTTTTTCCTTCCTGTCAAGATAAGTGAATGTACATTTTTAAAAACTCAAGGTGAGCCAGCCCACTTAGGGTGGGGTTCACTCTCCCATGGAAATGAGCTGCGGGCCTTTATTTATTTTTTGTTAATCCTCACCCGAGGATATTTTCCCCCATTGATTTTTAGACTGAGTGGAAGGGGGGGGGGGGAGACAGAGAAAGCGAAATCAAAATTGGGATTGGTTGCCTCCTGCATGCATATGGGGAACGGGAGAGGGAGGGGGTGGGGGTAAGGGTGCCAGCCTGCAGCCCAGGAATGTCACTGAAATCCAACCGGTCACCCTTCAGTCAGAGGGCTGACGCTCTAACCGCTGAGCAACCTGGCTAAGGAGAGCTGTGGACCTTTAAGGTGCATGGGGTAGGTCCTGGCTAAGGGGTGGGGGGTGGTTGTCCTCTGGGGAAGGTCCGGTCAGGTGAGGTCCCCAGGGGACGGTGGGAAAGATGCGGAGGCCGGAGAGTCAGGCCACAGGGTTAGATTTTGACGCTCTCTGGGCAGCTGGGAGGTGGTGCTCCGTCTCCGACAGCGTTTCCCCGAAGCTCCTGGAACAGCGCCTGCTGCGCTTCCCCGGCTCCCGCTCCCAGGAAGCTGGGATTGTATCTTTTCTTTGTACTAAAGGCTTTTCCTCCTCAACCTTTTATTTTGAGAAATTTGAAAGACCGTAAAATGACCACCTGTATTCCTTCCTCCTGGATTTCTCAATTGTTAGCATGTTGCCATAATTGCATTCTCTTTCTTTCTCTCCCTCTCTCTCCACACACATTTATTTTTTGATTTTCATTTTGCTAAAGGTTGAAAGGTGTGGATATCGTGGCAAATCTCCCCACCCCATCAGTACTTCGGTTTCCTTTGCCTAAGAATAGGATATTCTCTAGGAGACCACAATAGAGTCATCACACTCAAATTTAACATCAATACACGATGGTCATCTCCCAAAATGTCATTTTCGGTTTTTTCAATCCACAATCTAATCAAGACTCACGCACTGCATTTGCTTATCATGTACCTTTAATCTTTTACTCTAGCACAGTTTCACTCCTTTATTTTTCACGACAGTGACTTTTTTTTTTTTTTAATCCTCACTCGAGGATATTTTCCCATTGATTTTTAGAGAGAGAGTGGAAGAGAGAAGGAAAGACGGAGAGAAATATCGATGTGAGAGAAACACATCTATTGGTTGCCTCCTGCATGAGCCCTGTTCAGAGCTCAGACCAAGATCCAGGGAGGATCCTGCAACCAAGGTACATACCCTTGACCAGAATCGAACCTGGGACCCTTCGGTCTGCAGGCCAACTCTCTATCCATTTAGCCATACTGGGTAGGGCAGCAGTAACATTTTTAAAAAGTCCCCTCTTCTTGCTCCAGAGTCAATGAACAGGATGAGTTGGACCTTCAGAGACCGTGGCTGTGAGGTGTTCCTCAAATGCTTTTGGTTAGAGACATGTCTGTGGCCAACCCCTCCCTCCCACCCTCCCTCACCCACCCACCCACCCACCGCCATGGCATTCCTAGAACCAATTCCTGCTCCCTCGAGGAGTATCTGTGCGGGCCCGGTGCTGTGCTGAGGGTTTGGGGTACATGGGGATATAAGAGAATTTGGAAGTGTTATTTATACTGGAGAGCATCTTGGGGTCTCATCCAGTAGGTAAGGTTTTTCATGATTCAAGGTGGCAGGCCACGATGATGCTGTCAGTAAAACACACAGCAGGAATTTTAGAGCAGGTGGTCAGCGTGAGCTGGAAAAGTCCGGGAAGGCTGCCTGGAAGAATTAGGACTTGAGCTGGCCCATGAGGGATGACGAGGATGTTAATAGAGAAGGGAAGGAGGGCATTCTAGGGCATACACACATGCCATCCATCCTCCCGCCCTCCTATCTCCACATCATGGTTCCTCCCACCATCTGCCTAGGAAGGGCCCAGGCAACCCCGATGCCCCATCATGCCCTGGACATCCTCACCACCCACCCCAGTGCTCTAGACACTCAGGTACAAGATCATAAGGGCTTCTTGCGTGGAGACCTCTGAGGTGTGAGGTCCTCTCACCTGGGTAGCGCCTGGCTCTGGCACCCAGAACCAGCCCCGGCAGGGCCCTCAGGGAGTGCCTCCACTCCTGTGCAACTTCCACCATGGAACTAACGTTCTTCAGACCTGCCGTGTGCCCGGCTCTGGGCTGTGCAGGGTCCAGAGAAATCAAAGGCGTGGTTCCCGAGTTCAAGTTGCCTTCCTCTGTTTGGAGAGATGAAGAATTGGGAGGTACATGAGGAGGAGAGGAACAGTGGTCAGAGGTACAGAGGAGGAGCAGCCGGGGTGGGCTGGAGGGCCTAAGGAGGGCGTGCAGGAGGTGTGAGGGCCGCTGCAGGGGCTCCGGACGGCGGGGCTGGGAATTCGGGGACAGAATGGAGGTCACAGCGAGGTTGGCCAGCGTGTGGAAGGCTTAAAAAAGGCCAGCTCGGAAGGTCAGAAACAACTCCACCTGGAGATGACTGATTAAATAAATGATGGTGCATCCACACAATGGAATAATAACGCAACCCTAAAAGTGAATGAGTCAGCCAACCGTGTCCAGTTATCTTCAAGATAAACTGATAAACTGTTGACAAAACGGTGTGTGTGGTGTGCTGCCGTGTGGGGCAGGATAAGATCTGTTCGGAGAGAAACTTCGGACAGATCCATAATAAACGAACAAAAGTGTTTACCGGCGGGTGGAGGGAGGGGGACCTGGGCAAAGGGGCGATAGGCGTGGGGAGGAGAATTTTCACGGAAGGCCCCTTTACGTTTTTAAATTTCCAACCACATAAAGGTATTTCCTAGTCACACATGAGAGAAGAATAACTCGGCAGAACCAGCAGCATTCGCATCACGCTGGCCCGATCCCAGACACTGAGCAGCCTGTTTGGGCCTCCGTCTGTTCACCTGTAAAACAGGCTATTAATTTAAGGTCATTATGAGTCTCGGTGAGCTGACGGATGAGGGGGCCCGGGAGAGCATCCTTGTTTGAACAGGATCCCCGAGTGACTCAGGAGCGTGTTAAGGTTTGAGAAGCTCCGGCTGCCAGGAGCAGGCACGCTGACCGTGCAGGCAAGGGTGCCTGGTAACAGCTGTGCGTTCAGGATGTTCACCTAACATCTGGAAGAAGGATGGGTGGGAGGGGGAACGTGGAGGCGGAGGGGCGAAGAGAAGGGGCTTCATTCATTAGTGAACTGGATAAGGAGGTGGTTCATGGATACCAGCAGGAGGGGCCCGGGCCCCACGTGTGTGCTGGTGGCAGAAACAGAAAGAGCAGAGTTGTTTGTGGGACCTTTCTTAGGAAGAAAGGAAGGTACACAGCTTGCATATAAGAGAAATAAAACATAAACAAACAAACAAACAAACGCAGGGGTGGCAGCAATCCCTCGGTTTCCTCAGCTGTGCACGGACTGGTAGCAATCCCCCCTCTAGGTGGTTATGAAGATGAACTAAGATGATGGATGTGAAGTGTCCAGCACAGGGCACTCCTTAAGGGGTGTTCATTTCCCCTTGCTTTTGGAGGAAAAGGGGGAAGCAGGGTGATGCGTGAACACCCGAAGGGCTTGAGGCTGCTCTCCTTGCCCCTACACCCCCATTGCACCCCCACTTCATGCCCATGTTGGTGGGTGCTCAGGGGAGTCTCTGGACAGCCTGAGTCCCGCAGCGAGCAGAGCGAGCCGCCCACTCCCAGTTGTAGTTTCACCCTGTCAGCCTGGCAGCTTTCCCTGAGACCAGGCTGGGGCCCAATTGTCTGTCCAGCTCAGCACCCTGTACTGTCGCTGCTTACTCCCCTCCCTCCCCGCCCCCACCGCTTCATCTAATAACAACACCTCACTCCTGCTCCCCCTGAGAAGAAACAGCCAAATAATAGGCTCGCCTCGAAACAGCCCAAAGCCCTGTCCTGTAATTAAATCTCTGCTGGGCAATTGCGTAGTAAGTTCTGGAATGTGGGGTGGGATTGGGGCCCAGAAGTGGCAGTCTCCCCAGAGACTCGGGCCTCTGTCAAGTGTGTGGTCTTCCCTCCACCAAAGTCAAGTGCTCCTGGCGGAGAGAGTGCCCTCTGCCTCGGAGCAGGGCAGGCTGAGACGTCCCAAGAACCGCCTTCATCGTCCCCCCAGGTCCCTGCAGCTGGCTCTCCAGGGCCAAGGTCAGACCTCGGGTCATCCTAACTCCCAAAGCATACTGAGCTGCAGGTGGCCTGGCCCAGCCCCTGGTTCCAGGCGGGCCACACTGGGTGCCTGGCCAGCGCCAAGGCAGCTTCCTCTGGCTGCGGGCGGTGGGCTCCA